CTCCGAATGGTTTTATGTTTGATCCCGACTGTTTCCACAACAACAACAATAATAATAAAGTTAATATCACGACATTCACCTGAATATGGGAGTTAGAATAACTCCCGAAACGTCGCGTATATTAAATATACCTCAGAAATAAACAATGTCCAACATAATTTTTCTAAATATACGCTTCGATTACTTGCGCCTGAAGCTACGAAGCTCGTAATATGTTGTGAAGTGAGTGTTTAATGACGACAATAATATTTTGTTCTTTTTATCAAAATACAACTTCCTTTTATGACAATTTTAACTGAGAGCTGACAGAACTATTGGAACGAGTCAGGGAAGGAGAGAGGGTGTTTCAGAAAGATAAGTTAATCTCTGACCGCCTTCCAGTTAACGGAACATTGTAATTATAATTTGAGATTTCCTTGGCGGTGTGTCCGAGTAGGGCTGTCTTCTGGGTTGTAGCGCCGTGTAGTCTGGTAGAAGTCATCATCACCCTGATAATAGAGGCGGCAAGGACCTCTGAGTATATATTTTTCCCTCATTGAAACATTTTGATTTTCTACTGCATACCCAGATTTTCAACCATTTTACCACATAGCCTTGTACATAATTTTGTCATTCTTTCTGATAGGATATGAGCATGTAGGATAGCTTCTGTTTTCCTTTTTATGTTCAGCCTATGTTTATTTTGCCTAATAAATTAATATTATTGGCAAAAGCCGGACGCTGTTGTGTATTATTAAGTTTGAATCACTCCAGATTTTGACTTAGGTTAAAATTAACTTTGAAAGGTAATGGCGATACTGAAACGTAATTAATTTTGTTAGCCAACATTAAGCTCAATTATGAACAAGTTGCTTGTTCCCTAATCATTTATCATACTTTGTTTGTGTTCATCATTGAGCTGAATAACAACAGTTATTTCCATATCATATCATTCTCCTTATTTTATCATGAACCTTATTTCTGGTCGTTGTTGTTGCTTCTAGATACATTTTTGAAGTTTTGGGCTGTGCCAAATGACTTCAAGTGAGATTCCAAGTAGTGAGTAAAATGCCACTGGAGCAAGTTTTTTCTAACAGTTTCTTAGTTTTCTCTGACAATGGTCATTCCACTATTGCTCCAGTCATCTGTCACAACCCCATGAGTTGTATTGTATATCCTTGGAAAAGCAGCAAATAATCATTTCCTCGGTCGTGTGTTAAGGGTTTCATGGCACTTAGCTGGTCTTGCGGTAAAGGTAGTTTATTGCGGTATTCACTTCATGAAACTGCAGGAAATCACTGAACTGCAATCACAGAATGACAGGTGAAAAAAGAGGACAGAGACATATCTTTGGTGTTCGGAAAGAAGGGCTTAAATCAAAGGTAATTTGCACTGACGTAAACCCTTCTCACCGACCACCGAAGTTGTATGAATAGCACATAAATTTCTTTTTAACACAGTCCCACATGTGCTGTACGGGTCTCGAACTGTAATGACAGACTTTTTAAAATGCCTCCCAACCACACAACTACCTCGGAACTTAATCTATTCTCAACGTGAATGACGTCACTCAGTCGCCTTCTAACGCGTTAACGTGTGATATTAGAAACAGCAGTGACCGGAAACTCATAGCTAACGTGCCCTCAAAAGAGCGAGTGTATCAAGTGTAGACAGGAAGACGAGAAAACATCGC